CTTGTTTTTTTTTCCCTCCTCAGTTAGGTTTTGTTGTTGTTTAGAGTTCTTTATATATTCTAGATACAAGCATTTTTTTCATGGGGGAGTGTCAGGGATTGAACTTGGTGGCACTTGCCCACTGAGCCACATCCCCAGCCCTATTTTGTATTTAGAGACAGGGACTTATTGAATTGCTTAGCACCTAGCTTTTGCTGATGCTGGCTTTGAACTTTCAATCCTCCTGTCTCAGCCTCCCAAGCAGCTGGCATTCCAGGCGTGTGCCACTGACTATAGGCATCTTATCAGATAAATGGTTCACAAATATTTTCTTCCATTCTTTGGGTTTTCTTTTCAGTTTCTTGATGGTGTCCTTTGAAGCATACTTTTTTACCTTTGATGAAATTCAGTTTATTGGTTTTGTTACATGTGCTTAATCCAGAGTCATGATATGTATCTTTGTTTGCATCTAATAGTTTTATAGCTTTAGCTTTTAAATTTATATCTATGATTATTTTGAGTTTTTTTTAAAAATATTTATTTTTAGTTATAGCCAGACAAAATATCTTATTTTTATGTAGTGCTGCGGATCGAACCCAGTGCCTCACGCATGCCAGGTGAGTGCTCTACCTCTGAGCCACAACCCCAGCCCTTGAGTTAAGTTTTGTAAATAATGTGAAGTAGGGTCCCAAGGTAATTTTTTTGAGTGTGGCTATATATTTGTCTCTGCACTGTTTGTTGAAGTTTACTTTACTTCAATAGTATAATTATTCTCAACTACAAGTTGGTTATTGTAAGATAAAATTCCTTGGATATATGAAATTATTCCTGTTCTACAGATGAAAAGGATTTTAGTGTTGTACATTAGGTTGTAGCAATACACTTGTGATTAGTTTCTGAAGACAGGGTTGATTTCTGTGATTTATTTATTATTTTGTTACTAGTGATAGAACCCAAGAGTGCTTTACAACTGAGCAACACCCCCAGCTCATTTTATGTTTTTTTTTGAGGCAGGGTCTTGCTGAGTTGCTTAGGGCCTTGCTAAGTTGCTGAGACTGGCATGCCTGGCAATTTCTGTGATACATACATACATATATATATATATATAAAATATTTTTTTAATCACTTCCAAATCTTTTCCTTTTTTTGTTTGTGTAATTTTATTTTTATTTTCTTGGTAGTAGAAGTATTTCTGACTAAATTTTTTGGGGGAATACTTTTCCTTTGATAATGGCAGAATATTGAGTTGCATTTTTTTTTGACTAAATGATTAGTAAGCAGCTGTCACATGCAGATACTATTTATAAAGAGAGAAATTAATTTTTCACAGTTGAGTGTTAGGGGAAAAGAATAGTCCACTAAACTAAATGCTGTGGCAGGTGTTTGTCTTGCTTTGTTCTTGGTCCTAGTGGGAAAGCCTCTCACCATTAAGCTTGATGTTACTGTTGGTTTTTTGGAGACTTACTTGTATCACTGAGGAAGTTCTCTATGCTGATGGTTTATCATTGTTTCTTTCTCTCTCTCCTGGGGATGGAACCTGGACCTCAGCCTCACACATAAGCTGTATACCTCCAAGCTGAGTGTTTTCTCTAATTACTTATACATAACAATAGAATGCATTTTGACACATCAAACATATATGGAGTGTAACTTTTCATTCGGCTGATTGTATGTGATATAGAGTTACACCGGTCATGAGGGTAGTAATGTCTTTGATTCATTCTATAATTTCTAGCCCCATGGCTGTTGTTTTTTTTTTTTTTTTTTTGAGATGAATGGGTGTTGGGCTTTGTTAAGTGCTTTTTCTGCATTCATTGATTGATATGATCATGATTTTTCTTTAGCCTGTTGATATGATGGATTATATTAATTGATTTTTTAAATTATTGAACTTGCCTTGCATACCTGCAATATGATTTGATTTGATTTGATTTGCCAACATTTTGTAGAGCAGTTTTTCATACATATTCATGATAGAGATTGAGAAGACAATGTTATTTCTTCAGTTTAAGTCTGTCAGGTCTGAAGTATATTTGCAAAAATTTAGGATGGAAGAAACTTTGGTTTCTTCTCTTCTTTGAACCATACCTATAAGTTGTAAAAAGAATCTATAATCTTCAGTTTTCCCAAATGTTTTAACATTTCTTCTCAAACCCAAACTCTTGTTTTATTACTAGATTCAACTGTCGTACCATTATTCTGTAAAATTGCCATGAAAGTTTTTAGATCCTTTTAATTCTCCACAGTTCAGTAAATAGTGAATACTACCACAGGTCCCTGGACCACACTTTTGAGTAGCACTGTCCTAATATACAGTTGTTGTAATAAGAGGAGGGAAAATTTAAGTTTTTTTCATTATCTTTGGAAATAGGGTATTTACAGAATCAATAAACAAGATTTTAAAGTGATATTTCACATAGAAAAATAAGAGATCGATAATTAGCATTTAGTACATGGGATGGGAATCCTAGAGAGCATCATATTTGCTCCCTTAGAGAAAATTGAGATTCTGAGATATAAATATATTTCACTATTTCAAAGAACAGTAAGCTTTTCTTTAAAACAAGGTCATGCATAGGCCCTATAATTCATATACATTACATTTGTGTGGACTCCTTTTTCAATTGGCGGAATGAAAATGGAAGGCTTTTCTATTCTTATTTGGTTGACATGGTATGATTTCTTTGAATTATCTGGATTGATGTATATTAGGCTAAAGAAAGTTAGGCTGACAGTTATTAATAGTATTTTCTTCGTCAGTGATTGCCTCCAACCAAAAAATACTCAAGGCATTTTATAATCTAAAATTGTTGTGATTATTCTAAGTTGTCCTTTTCCATTCAATTCTTCATGCTAAATTTAGTGTATTTTGTTTTATAAATAACTTTTCTAGGTCCATCTAAATATGCTTTGGGAAGATTCATGTAATTTTGTCAAGTTAAATGTGAGAAAAATCTTTTTTTAAATTTTTTTGGAAAATATTCATTTAAATATTGCCTATTAGTAGTTATCTAAGAGGTACTGTTCAGTAAGATACTCATGTGGTTTAATAATCCAAATTTTGGATGGTAGGAATAGGAAACTATAAGCAGCAGTATGCACATATATTTATACATAGTGTATATAGTGCAGACTTGAATGCAGAAACCCTGGGTTTAAACTTTGGCACTGCCTTTTAGTACCTTGTGACTTTAGGAAAGTTACTCAACTTTTGTGTCTGTTTCCAGTCTTTAAAATTGGGCACAATTGTCAGGGTTCTGAGAATCAAATTAGTAAATATAGATAAAGTGTTAGAACTATGTTTAGCACATAGTAACTGCTTAGCAAGTTTTAGCTGTTGTTTTCTTTTTTTAGTTAATAAGGCTGACCCTGGCAAAACTATGAAATAGACAAAGTTGGCTTAGGTATTTACCTACCTCTAATGATTTGAGTAAGCAGGGCCTTGGCTTTGTTGCTGTTTTTGGCATTTCTTTCCAGATGCCTTTAATTAAAGTTTTACCTACCTGTTCTTCTTGTCCATACAATGATAGAAAAATCCTTATCCTATTTTTGTTAATCATCATATCAGAAATAATGAGAAAAGTGATCTAACTGAATGACTTTATATTATTAATAAATAACATTTATAAAATAGTTTTTTGAAATCAAATGACTTTAATGGATTAGAATTTAGGCAAAATAACAGCATTGGAACACATAACAGCATTGGGAAAAATATACTTTTGGAACCAGATGGTAGGTCTGAATTGGTATTAATTTTGAATATTTCATCCATTTGGTTCTGTCTTATTTTTGCAGCTTTTTCTTTCTTTTATAACTGATAAATTATCTAAAAGTTCCAAGTTTCTACCCCTCCTTTCTCTGTCACACAGGTAACACCTATAGCATTTGATTAAAAGGGTGGCCTAGAGGGTTAGGTACAGTAATGACCTTTGGTTCTTGAGGATACTTTGTAAGTTGGAACTAGTGTGTTCACAGTGTTAACAGAAAAATGGATAGAATAATGAAAAATTAAATTTTGAATATGGTAAACATGTTTAGAGGCTTTGCAGAGGTTTTTTTAAATTATTATTTGTGGTGGTGGGAGTCAAACCTAGGACTTCTCACATGCAAGGCAAGGGCTGTACCATTGAGCTAACCTCTCAGTCCTGTTCTACTGTTTTTTTTTTTTTTTTCTTTTTTTGAGGGGGAAGAAAGGGGGAGCACATAACTTTTATAAATATTTTCATGCATTAGGATTTCTAGAAAACACATTAGATACAGGGGTTTTTTATGACCTAAGGAAATAGAAGGACTTGGAAACCAGCTCAAGGGAGGCCCTGTAGACTGACCAGAGTGGAGTGGAATTCCTGAAGCCAGGTGCCATGACAAACTTGGAATGTGCCCTTTTCCAAAAAGTAGATTCATAGACCTGTTGTAGAAGGTGCCCCATTTACCAAAGCCAGAATTGAAGGGTCCTCTGTTAGCTCTGTGAGAAACTTGAAATCATTCTAGAAAAAGCCAGACTGACCTCTAAAGTAATTTCTTTGTAATTTTTCTTGTCAGCCAACTTTGAGTAGGAAGAATGGAAACATGGGCTAGTCATTAAGGTCTGTTGAGTGCGTGCAGTGTGACCCTTGGCTGTAATCCCACAACTCTGGAGGCCTAGGCAGGAGCATAGCAATTTCCAGGTCAGCCTCAGCAATTTAGTGATGACCCTACCACAGAATAAGACTTTCAGGCTGCGTTTCTCACAGGGTTCTGTTTTACTGTTTTTAAAATGTTAGATGGAGCTGGGCATGATGGTGCATGCCTGTAATCCAAACAGTTTGGAAGACTGAGGCAGGAGGATTGCAGGTTTGAACACACAGGTTGTGTGTGTTCAAACAAATCTCAGGTTGATCACAGCCTCAGCAACTTAGGTTGTGAGCAACCTAGGGAGACCCTGCCTAAAAGTAAAAAGGAGTGGGAATGTGGCTCAGTGGTTAAGCGCCTTTGGGTTCAATCCTTGCCCCCCCCCAAAAAAAAAGTAGTTGGATTGATATACACTCTTGGGGTGAAATGCTCCATTTCTATACATGTTTAAGGAGACCATAGTCTTTCATCTAGATTGTAGGTTCCCTGAGCCACAAGGATAGTGTTTTATCTAGTTGTGTTTCTCTATATTCCTGAGCGCATATTGGACCTTTGTTTGCTACATTTAATTTGTTTGGGATTATAATTTAAAGTGCTTGACTCTGTGGTATTGTAAAGTACCTATTATGCTGAGGTGAGTTCCAGCATAGCTGAAGACATATATGTATTGTTTCTGTTCCCTTTTCTTGTAATTCTTGAAGAACTAAAGTGTTTAGTTTAAAAAAATTGATGTTCTCCTGAAATGACGAGAAGATACATGAAAAGAAAGAGCATTATTTCATGTTAGATTTGACACAACTGTAAAAAATTTCTAGATCTTATTTTATTCTGATCAAGTTTCTAGTAATGTAAAAGGAAAAGCAACCTAGTATAATTATAACTCTTACTTGATGCATTAATTAATTGATGCATTCTTTTTTAATGTAAAATTTAAAAAATATATACGTACATATATGTATATATATACATACATACACATATACATATACATACACATACACATACACATATATATACATATATATTTTGGTTACAGTTGGACACAATATCTTTATTTTATTTATTTTTATGTGGTGCTGAGGATGGAACCCAGTGCCTCACACATGCTAGGCGAGTGCTCTATTGCTGAGCCACAACCCCCAGCCCATTTGATGCATTCTTGACAGACTAAATTGTAAATTTTAAATTCTTTGTTATACTTTAAGGATTTAGGATTGTTTTGAATGAGGTAGATGGAGTAGTCGAAGGGTGATTCCTTCAGTTAAGTACAGCATAGTTCAAGTAAGGCCAAGGTAGGTGTTAAATTTCCTTTGTCTTGCTTGTCCACAAATTCCGTGGAAGAATTCACAAGCATGCTTAATTCAAATCTACTCATTTGAATCAGATATCATGGAAAATAGTGACCTTTTTGTATAGGAAGGCCAGCTCTCTTGAAATATCCTGATCATTGATAATTTGTACACAGTTTCACATAAGATTTAGTACTATTTGAAGACACTTAGTGATTGCAAAAGTTTTGTCCTTGTCCCCTTTACATAGCAGAATTGGTTAATCAGTTTATAGGTTTTCACATTTTGAAGGTATAAGTTTATTGTAGAACGGTGAAGTTTTGGATAATGAGGGAAAAAATTTATTGAACGATTTTATGGCTCTTAGTGGTCTAATCCCTTCAATTTGAAGATGGGAAAACTGAGGCTGAGAAACCTGAAATTCTGATAAAGAATTGGGTTTTGAATATGTTGAGGTATTTGTTAGAATATTTGAATGGAGGTGTCAGGTAGGCAGCTGGATTCATATATCTGGAATTGAGGGAGAGATCCAGCCTGGAAATGTAAATTTGAGAGTCATCCCCTTATAGGTGATATATTAAAACCCAGAGGTGGAATGAGATCCCCAAGGGTGTTGGTGCTTAGAGAGATTGAGAACCAAGGACTGAGCCTTGGGAGCACTTGGCTCCTTAAGTCAGGAGTATAAGATGAAGCTTAACTTACCCTTAAAGTGGTGTAGGATTTGCTAGAAGCGAGCCTGTCTGTTGTGCTTGTGTATTGAAGGCAGTGCCTTCATGTGTATTATCTTCAAGGGAGGTGACACATTTATGAGTTGGATATGTGTGCGGTGTAATTTGGAGTGAGTATGTGGGCTGTGAGTGTAATGGTAAAGAGTTGAGAGTTTATGCAGTTAGAAAAGAGCTTCAAAAAGAGGATTGTTCTAGTCAGCTGGATGGATTTAGAAAGCTAAGATGCTTAGGAAGCTATTAGAGTAGTACTGACCTGAACTGAGAAAGGTCTGGTAGCAGTGGGGATGGGAAGGAAATAACCAATTGGATAGAACCAGTGCACTAGAAAAAGCATGTATGGGCAAAAGGCAGAATTCAAGGTGATTTTGAATTTCTCTCTTGGGAACAGGGATATGAATGGTGTTATTAATGTAAACTGGAGAAGTTAGGGTAGGAGTCTGTTTTGAGAGGAAGATAAAGAGTTTAATGGAAGATTTGACAAGCTATTGGACCCCTAAAATGTAATCAGATTTCTAGTCAGTGGGCTAATCATATCATCATCTCTAGGATCCTGTTCTAACCTAGGTGTTTTTCCTGATGATTATTGTCAGATAAGTAGGAAAATACTGGTGAAAAAAGAAGAAATGACTATGTGGGAGTTTTAACTTAAGAGTTAACTAGTACTTTCAATTTTTTTTTTTTTTGTATCTAAGTTTTGTAATTCGGAATTACTTCATAATATTTTCACAGAACTTGAAAATTGAGCATGCTTGGAATATCCTTTTTAGATTTATCTGTATTTCCCTAAGAGGTTTTCTGAGCATTTGTAAACCTCCACAGATTTATATTAGTAAGTATTTATGTTAATAAAACTAATAAAAACCCTTAAGAGTGCTGTTAGCTCATTCTTTGGATAATTTCTCATCATTTGAAACTAACTGGCAACTGAGCTTATCTCAGTTTGTTTAATGGGTTTGTGCTTGATGAAGATTATTTCACTTCCCTAGTTTTTTTTCATAGATTTTTTTAAAGTACGTATTTGGGGGCATTTGTGGTATAGCTACAATTTTGAGGAATTGACGTCAGTGTAGCTAAATTTCTTGTACAGTGTTAGTGCTTTGTAAGTATGATTTAATTAATTAAACATGATAATATAAAAATGTAGTTACTAGCTCCTTCCCATCCATTAATTATATAGACCATAATATTATTCTCTTTTATTATTATTTGAGTTGGGAAGTTTGTAATTAAAGGAGTTATGAATTTAGTACTGGAAAATGGTTGATATATTTGGAGACATTATTATTCTATAGGTAGAGCTTGAAGCACAAATGGATTTCCTGGTATTGTATTTGAACCAATGAATATTTAAGAGTAGCAGTTGTATCCAGTTTTCCTTAAAGAAGTCCTGTTGAACATTTTATTGTACCAGACAATTTGGCACAGACTAGTTATATTCCTATGCCCAAGTTAATTTATGTTAAAATAATATTTAGTTTTATTTCAGGGCGCAACATTAATTCTTAGAACTGATTGCTTTGAGACTAGTTTTATATACCTTTTAGTATGTTTTGACATTGGAAGAAAAAGAATACTCAGTGTTAATTTCTTCTGAATAATACAAAATTACATAGTTGAGTTGATGTTATCCTTCTTCCATTTCATTTACTAATGGCCACAGGTACCAGTGGCTTTCTCAGAAAATCTTCTCCAATGAATTTCACCTTTCAGTTAGTAAAAGACAATATTCCCACAAAGTTTCAATTCTCCAGAATGGATATACATCATCATTTAGTATAATGCACTCCTCTTAAAACTCTTGAGCTTGGTTTTAGTACTGCTTAGTTACCTGGATTTTCCAAAACAGGCTTATCAGGCAGCTGTATGTCCATCATTTACCAGGCATATTTGATGATTATCATGTTTTTGTGTTGCAGATTGAACCCAGGGCCTTGCAAATGCTAAGTACATGCTGTACCACTGAACTACACCCCCCAACCTCTATATGATGATGATGATGATTTTAATATGTATATTTTTTTAGTTGTCAATGGATCTTTATTTTCTTTTTGGGTGGTGCTGAGGATCGAAACCAATGCCTCACAAATGCTAGGCAAGTGCTCTACCACTGAGCCGCAACCCCAGCCCTGTATGATTATTTTTTATGACAATATTTTTTTTTTGTCAGCCTTGGACATTTAAGTATATATACCTATACATTAGTTCCATGAAGATTGGCTAAGATAATGTAAGGTCACAGGCTGTTTAGTGAAGTTTACAGGTATATCATAGTAAGATTTATTAAAGCAAGTATGGAGTTTTGAATGTGACTATATTAAGTGAAATATTGAATTTTCTTGCAGTAGTCCTTAATATACGTTCATTTGTTCTTATGGTGTTTCTCATGCTTGTTACAATTTCTGGTAGCATGAATAAGTAATTTACTTACATTTCATACCTGAGAAACTAAAGGAAGAACTGGCTAATAAACATGAAAATTGCCATTTAATTTCTACTGTCCACTTTATGAATGCTTATGATTATCGTTCCCTGCTCTTAAATACATATTTGGATTGCTGTCAGATTGCGAGTAGTCTCTGTGTACAAACTAAATTTAAAAAAGTCTTAAGTAAGAAATTTAAATTACCTGGGTATGAGGGGGAAAAAAGCAAAAGCAAAGACAAAAACTACTGAAGGAGAAAAAGATTTCAAAGTTAATCAATTTTTTCTTTTGCTTTTCTCTTATTTGGATATACCACATCATATTCCCACTCAGTAATACAAATAATGATAATATTAGTGCGTGTGTGTATACACACATTTAAATTATATAGAAAAACAACATTCTCATTTAATTTGGCTGACCAATCAATTAGCTATTTTTATTGTTGTTCAATAAAAATTTAAATGTAATAGTCTTATTAAAATAAGTGAGAATAATTAAATAGAACTGATTAAAATTAAGCCTTTAAAATACTTATGGATTAATTAGCAGGCTATAAGTGAAATTCAGTTTTGGTCTCCTTTACAGGAATAGCTATTCAGTCAGACAGAACCACTTATCACGTTTTGCAGTATCTCCTGAGGAAGTCAGAATCTGAGCCAGCATGAAGACTGAATCTTGTCTTTGGTCTGATTTATAACTGTGCTTTTATTCTAACCATGTGCAAGGTGGAGGTTATAGCATGGAAACTAAAACCTTAGTAAGTGTGATTTTTATTTTAGCTATTAAATAATAGCCTTTTTAATAGTGAAGTTGTCTTAGAGTTCACACTACATGGGGTGTGGGCTTGGCAGGCAGGAACATAAAAGACTTCCAGAGTAAAAAGACAGCTTTCCAGTTTTGGGAAGAATCCCTGAGAAAGAGAGGGAAAAGTATCTGTTACTCTACCTATGATTTCTTTCTCTTTTTTACTTTAAAATTGGTGGGAGCCAGGTTAGTGGCACATGCCTGTAATTAATCCCAGCTACTTGGGCGGCTGAGGTAGGGAATCACACAGTTTGAGGCCAGCTCGGGCAACTTAAGTGAGACCCTGTCTCAATGTTCTCCCTGCCCCTAAAAAAAGAAAAAGAAAAATCGGTTAAGATGAGTAAAGAAAGGATTTAAGGAAATGAAAACATTGGTTTTAATGTCTAAATTTAAGCCATTAAAGAAGTCTTAATTGGGGCTGGGGATGTAGCTTAGTGGTAGAGTGCTTGACTACCATGTGCAAGGCCCCGGTTTGATCCCTAGTAATTCATTGTTTAAACTTGCCATGTAAATTTCTTTATTTATGAATTAGTAGGCTCACAGTAGGATTCTAGAAACTTTTAAATAATGAATATATTTTAGTATGAGTTGAATTTTGAATATATTTTAAAATTTCAAATGTTAAATAATAGTCAAAATTATATTGGCATGATTATGCTGATAGTTATTTCAAGAAATGTTCTATCAATTTGATTTTCCCAAGTATTGGTAATATGGGTTTGATTTTTTTTAAAGGCATTCTTTTTAATTAATTAATTAATTATTTTTTATGTGGTGTTGAAGATCAAATCCAGTGCCTCACATGTACTAGGCAAGCTCTCTACCACTGAGACACAACCTTAGCCCATGGGTTTGCTTTTTGTGCTCCACAGAGAACTAGATTTTTCAGATACAGGATATCAAGAAACAATCTATTTTATAAGGTTACTTTGTTAATTATGATGATTACTCCTCAATGTCTTTTTCTATTTGTGCTAATTAAAAGCAGTGAATAATTGATATTTTTAAGCTGCTTTTCTTCCATACCAAAGAGGATAGAGATTACTTTGATCTTCTGTAGTCGTGAATCAAACATTATAGTAACCTAGATAGCATGATCTATGTTGTTTATAATTTGAGAATGATTATGTTTTGAGGTATTATTTACTTTGTATGCTTTTCCTTTGAGTCTTTTTAACTATTGGATACTTTTCTAAATTGATGGTGATGACCAAGCTGAAATTATGACCAAGCTTTCCTATTATGACTTCCATGTTTTAATTTCTTCCCTTTTAGAATAAGTGTCTTTATCTCCTGCCTATTTCTTGCATTCCAGAGTACAATTTCATTAAATCCTGAGATTTTTTCTTTGGAAAAGAGTTTTCTTTGGAAATTTATCCCCTGTATCTCTATGGAAATCCAAAAAGAAAAGTAAAACAATTTAGTATAAAATCTTACATTCCTCTTAATGTATATTTTATAAGTTGAAGGATACATTTATTTTGGGGGCAGATTTTAAGAGGTGGAATTAGTATTTTTTTTAATAACCATGTCCTAATTATTTATAGCTTCCTGCTTGACATAACTCACTTCAAGAAGTGCACAATGTCAGAACGTGGAATTAAGTGGGCTTGCGAATATTGTACGTATGAAAACTGGCCATCTGCAATCAAATGCACTATGTGTCGCGCCCAAAGACCTAGTGGAACAATTATTACAGAAGATCCGTTTAAAAGTGGTTCAAGTGATGTTGGTAGAGATTGGGATCCTTCCAGCACCGAAGGAGGAAGTAGTCCTTTGATATGTCCAGACTCTAGTGCAAGACCAAGGGTTAAGTCTTCATACAGTATGGAAAATGCAAATAAATGGTCATGCCACATGTGCACATACTTGAACTGGCCAAGAGCAATCAGATGTACCCAGTGCTTATCCCAGCGTAGGACCAGGAGTCCCACAGAATCTCCTCAATCCTCAGGATCTGGCTCAAGACCAGTTGCTTTTTCTGTTGATTCTTGTGAGGAATACAATGATAGAAATAAACCGAACACAAGGACCCAGCATTGGACTTGTTCTATTTGCACATATGAAAACTGGGCCAAGGCTAAAAAATGTGTTGTTTGTGACCATCCCAGACCTAATAATATTGAAGCAATAGAGTTGGCAGAGACTGAAGAGGCTTCTTCAATAATAAATGAGCAAGATAGAGCTCGTTGGAGGGGAAGCTGCAGTAGTGGTGGTAATAGCCAAAGAAGATCACCTCCTACTACAAAACGAGACTCTGAAGTTAAAATGGATTTTCAAAGGATTGAATTGGCTGGTGCTGTTGGCAGCAAGGAGGAACTTGAAGTGGACTTCAAGAAACTAAAGCAAATTAAAAACAGGATGAAAAAGACTGATTGGCTATTCCTCAATGCTTGTGTGGGTAAGTTTCTCTTTTCTGCATTTTTAAAATTGAGATGGGAAAAAGTATTAAAAATTACATGAAATGAAGCAGGGTTAATAGTAATATTGAGCTCATTCCGTGTGATAGTTGTACTCAAAAGTATTCATACACAAGAATTTATATTTGTGATCTTGTCAATTTGGTGCTAAATTGCATACATTTAATTGTGTACATGTTTCTGTATCATTAGGGGAGAAGTTTCAGGTTAAAGCAAACTTTTTACACATTGTTAGAAAAATATACCTGGAGTTTGAAACTGCTTCTCTATTTATTGTAACAAGATGTGACTGAGAAACACCAGCTGCTGTTTCTCAGTGTTTGTAAACAGTGTGAGCATCTTGTGATGAGAGGCTTTAGTCAGATGTTAAAAATATCACAAAAATGTGTGACTCCAAGAAGTTGAACAAACATAATATTGACCTTGAAAGTGCCGATGTTAATTTAACATGAATGCCATGTAGTAAACGTTTGCAAACTTCATGGAACAGATGTCATGTAGCCAGCTGATCCTATAGTTCAAATCATGATTTGTGTATATTGTGTTTTTTAATGTTTTTGTAAGGAAATTTGAAATTTTCGACCCAGTTACTGGGTCATAGTTGGTAAAGGACAAAGACATGAGAGCAGGGTTTTAATCCAGTTATTGACATAGTTATTTGTGAGAGTTCATTATTTGTGATATAATACAAAAGCTAAGACTATACTTTTCTGTACTATACCATAGTTTCAAGGATTATTTCTGTAGTTCATTATAAAAGGTAACAAACATACACACATATCTTGAGTAGATTGGATGTTAATATATAAAATTTTTAGAAACTAGGAGATACAAAAGGGATTTATTTACTGTTAGATTTTATTGAGATCAGATTCATATAACAAACCACACCATTGTGAAAGTGAATAATTCAGTTTTGTTCATATTTATAGTGGTATGCAACCACTACCTCTGTTTAGTTCAAAACATTTTCATCACCCCAAAAGGGAATCCTGTACCAATTAAGCAGTTAAATTCCCATTCCCTAACTGCCAGTCAACTTTCTGTCTCTGAGTTTACTTATCATGGATATTTCATATAAATGGAATTTACATTATATGACCTTTAATTACTTGAATGGTTTGGAACACTCTCAAAATAATATTTTCAGGCTTTAGCATACTATGCATCCTTTTACTACATGGTGGTATTAAAATACACATAGGTTTACAGATAGAAATGAGCTAAACTTCATTTTTAGTGATTCTTAATATTTTGGTGTCATAGAATCTTTTAGGAATTAGGTTTATAGTTTTTTAATTAAGTAAATCTCAGGTTGAGAACCACTTGATATTATGGTTTATTGAAGCCTTAAAAAGCAATTTTCAAAGTATGTATACTAAGCATCAAATTGTATACTGAGTGTAAATTATAAGACTTTCTTGTTTAAAATTGGAAAAAAAAATTCCATCCTCAGGCCAACTTTGTAGCTGATAAAATGGAATGAGGAAAGTTGAATTGTTGAGAAAGCAAAAATAAACTAAGCATCAGTAGTACTGAACGGGCATTTCTTACTAGTTGTTGTGTATGTTTCTCACCAGTCATCTTTATGTGGCGAGAGGATTGTGGAGGATGGCAGTGCAAACCTGACATCAGCAAAAGTGGATTCTGGGAGCTAGGATGGTAAAGTCAGAGATGAGAATTTAAATTCAGTTGACTCTGGAATGTCTGTTGTTGGTGCCAGGTGTTTTCAGGGAGCTCACTTCAGCACTCACTGTAGTCTGCCCTTCCCACTGGATAGACAGCATTGTACTGAGAGAATATGGCAGCACTACTTAATTAATACATCGATTTTCTTTTGTTATTGTTTGGAATCATTCCCCTCTGGCCACCTCTCCCCCAACCCCAACGCTGAAGTGCTTTACTACTGAGCCATATCCCCAGCTCTTTTTATTTTGAAATAGGGTTTCTCTAGGTAGCTGAAGCTGATCTTCAACTTTCAATTGTCCTACCTTAGCCTCCTGAGTTGCTGGTAGTATAGGCGTACACCACTGCTCCAGGCTCACTTTCCTTTTAACAGATGAATCTCTGTCTCGCTGCAGGATTTGCTATGTTGCCTCCTTTGAATCTTCTCAAATGGTGCCTTCTCAGTGAGATCCTCTTGACTGCTTTATCTAAAATTTCATCCATGTCCTATACTCCTTGCTCCCAGTTTTTTTTTTTTTTTTAATATTCTTAAGTTTTAGGTGGACACAATATCTTTATTTTACATTTATGTGGTGGTGAGGATTGAACCCAGTGCCTCGTGCATTCTAGGCAAGCACTCTACCACTGAGCCACAATCCCAGCCCCTCCCAGTTTTAATTATATTCTTAACAGTTACTTTCTGGTACATTTGGTAATTTTGGTTATTATTTGTATCTCCTCTAAAATTTAAGCTTCCTCTGAGTATCAGGAATTTTATCTGTTTTGTTCACAGCTATGTCCTAATGCCTAGAACAGTGCCTGCTGTATATCAGATATTTATTAACCAGTGAAAAGGCTTTTTAGAAACCGAGGTTTGAACAAACAGACCTGTAAGGATCCTGTCACTCTTTTGAATTTCTAGATTCATTGCTTTCTTAGCTGTCTCTATCTTGCACTTTACAGACTACTTGGACTTGACCCAGTAAAGCAAACTCTACTTTTCTTTGGCTGTCAGGATAACACTGAGGTAGTCAGTACAATAGTTTTTTAGTGGTTAAGGGTAGAGACACCTTAGTTCATTACCAGACAATTCGTGAGAAGAGAATCTGAAGTCAAGGTTTTTTTTTTTCTAACATTAAATTTCTTCATCTTTGTACTTGCACTGATGGCAATATTTGATTTTAAAAAGTCATTCTATGTGTTTCTTAACTTAAAGTTGTATCAGATAAAATTTTTACATGAAACCGTATTGTCATTGGATCTATAACTTCATAGTTAGCACTTTGTTTTCACTTTTTTTTTGACTGTGCTGGGGATCTAATCCAGCTCAAAGCTCTCTACCACTGACACACGCCCCAATTTTGTTTTGCTTCTTAAACAACAGTTTTTCAGTAATCTTTGTTATATTTAATTCATCTAGTGCTCCTGCTAATGAAAATGTGAAGGAGTTGAGATTTGGTGAGGGGTGTTAAACGTATAGGGAAAAAGAATTAAACCAGGCATGGTGGTGCATGCCTGTAATCCCAGTTATTCAGGAGCTCAGGCAGGAAGATCCAAAGTTCAAGACTAACCTGGACTGCATAATGAGACTGTGTCTCAAAATAAAATAATAAGCTCTGTGGTGTAACTCAGTAGTAGAATGCTTGCTTGCTTAACCTGTAAGGCCCTGGGTGCACTCCCCAGCTCCACAAGAAAATAACAGAAGAAAAACCCCTACAAGCTTAAGGGCTTGGTGGTGTGGCTCAGTGGTAGAATGATTGTTAAGCAAGCACAAAGCCATAAGTTTGATTTCCACCAAACACACATATACATGTGGGTACATGTATACATGCAAACACAGAAGAATCAAGCTTATATAGTAGGTACGTGTTGAAACTGGAATTTTTATGCTCAAGTGTTTGGTTGCTCAGTAGCAGTAGCATGAGCACCTTTCAATCAGTGATGCCTTCTGGTGCTCTGAAGTTTTGGGGTTACCTGTACTGTGCACTAATATTTTCTGTTGAGAATCACTGATTTGTGGGCTAAACTAGAATCTCTTTTATGGAGGAGTAGGCTGAAATGGAATCATGAAAATTGTAATCTTGATCACTTCTGAGCAAGATTGGTCACACTTCCAAGATTTTGACATGTCTAAAATATAGAAACTATCTTGGAATTGATTTTTTTTTTCTGTCAGGTTGTCTATGAAAATATTTCTTGGATTTGATCTAATTTCCTTCTTTTATAACTTGTTGAAAATTAGTGTTTGAGGTATTTTCCATATTGATGCCAATTGTATTTTTGGCCCTTTGCTAGAAACTTGTGTACTATGTCATATGCAATGTATCCATGTTAGAGTGTCAGATGTAACTGTAGAAATATCTACATGTGAATAGTATTAAACATATCTGAAGGTTTTTTTCCATCATAAACGCTATACTCATTTTAACAAAAATTGGCAATGCCTGGGCTTATTACATTTTAGAATATTCTTTCTGATTTGTTCTGGTATCTGTATTAAGAATTGTGTATATGGGCCAGGTGTGATAGTGCATGCCTGTTAATCCTGGTGGTTTGGGAAACGGAGGCAGGAGGTTCGTGAATTCAAAGCCAGCCTCAGCAACCTAGCTAGGCCCTAAGCAACTTAGTGAGATCCTGTGTCTAAATAAAATATAAAAAAGGGCTGGGGATGTAGCTCAGTGGTTAAGCTCTCCTGGGTTCAATTCCCCAGTACCCCCCCCCCCCCCCAAAATGTGTATGGATGGACATTTGCGATTTGTCAGTTGAAGATTTTTCTCAAGAAAACAAATTGTTAAGGTTGTTTTGGTGTTATTTTTCTTTCTCTGGAAAACTTGTAAAACGTAACCTTGTATATTGATATTTTTTCCTTAGTTTTTTTTTTTGTACTGGGGATTGGAACACATGAGCTCTTTTTCATTGAGCTACACCCCTAGCTCTTTTTATGTTTTTATTTGGAGAACAGGCCCTTACTAAGTTGCCCAGGCTGGCCTTGACCTTGCTAGTCTTCTTGCCTCAGCCTACTCATTTGCTGGATTACAGATGTGCGTCATGTACCCAGCTAATTCTTAGTTTTGAAATTCACATCTGGTCAAACAAAGGGGATAGTACAGTCCAAAGGAAATTAGGTTGACCTTTAAGTTAGTTTTGGGAGATGGTTTTACTATGAACTTTTGTGATTAAAAGGTGATTTATATCAAAAGTACTATGTCAAAACAAAATGAAATTCCTGTGGTGATTTTTACCTATTTAAGACATCTTTGGGAAGATTTTCTAATTTGAGAAAACTCTGGACATACAAATGATTTTGTAGAAATGA